TCGAAGAATGGCCATGTCCTGCAGGACGCTGGCGGCCTGGCCATGCTCAGGCCCTGGACACAGCAGGTCGGCCTTCAGAAAAGTCGTCCACTTCTGCTGGAGAGTCTTCCGGCCCCCAAGATCCCCCTGGGGTAACAAGCACATGGGAGTTCTCTTTAGAAGACCAACACTGGGGGAGGACTGCGGAGACCAACACAAGTTCCCCCAGACAGACAGAGAGGGAGACAGACACACAGGACATCTGTCTATGCATGCAGGGCAGAGACACAGACAGAGTAACTGAGGAGGGCAGGGCGACAACAATGATGGTGACTAAGTTCACTGTGCACTTATGAATTACTGTACCTCGCGCTTTACATAATTTACCTCCTTTAGTCCTCAAAACAGCCCTCAGAGCTAGGCGTCATTAACACCCTCGTCTGTAAGGATGCTGCCCAGTCACAGAGGCAGTCAGCAGTGCGGCAGGGACCTGAACCCACGTCTGTCTGTCTATAGTTCCTGCCTTTAACCTCTGCACTACCTCCTGGGGACAGTGTCACAAGGGTAATTACGGGGGTAAAAGAGGCCAGAGTCCTTCCCCACATTCCTCAGGCTCCCAGAAAAGTAGCCAAGGCCCAGCAAAAAGGGAGACAGGGGACAGATGCAAAGACAGAGACCCAGAGAGGGAAAGACAGGACAACAGGCAGCAGAGCAAACAGGACAGGCAGCTGGGGGCAGAGCCTCACCGCGCACACACGGGCCACCCTCGGGACCTTAAAGTGCTCGTATGAGTCAAACGCTCGGGAAATCTCCGTAAAGAAGAAGTAGATTTCATCGTCTCCGTCTTCATCCCCCCACTCGGCTGGGCTCAAGGCCACGGCTGCAGCGAAGGCTGGGGCTGGGGAGACCAGCGGCCTCAGATTCCACAGACACAGCCTGGGGCCACCCAGCCGCCACCCACTGTGTCCCCAGATAGCCAGCACTCCCTCCTCTCCCCACCGTTAAGCCAGGATGGCAAGGTCTCTGTGCGAATCCAGTCCTCAGCACGACCCACAGCCCGGGAGATGATCGACTGGGTCCCCAGGTAGTTTTTCACAGTGGCCGTGTAGAGGACGCCCCCTGCAAGGGCGACAGGATGGAGAGGGACTGTCAGAGACTCACTGAGGAAGCAGAGGGGGTCGCAGGCCGAGCAGGGAGCACAGCGGGGGTAAGAAATCGCAGGCAATGCTAAGCATGATGGCCACTCTCTCCCTTAAACAAAGGGCTACAGGGCAGTAAAGGGAACCAGGAACCAGTCCCTGTGGAAACTGAGATGCTTTTTGTTGTTGGTCTGTTTCTTGTTGTTATTTTTAAGGCCTATCTATCCTGTAATATGCTAATTACACGGTAATTTTTCAGGAAGGGTTTGCTCTGCAGCACGTTCCCATCTCACTGGAGTTCTCCCGCTGTGTAAACTTCTGAGGGTCAGTGGGTGTGTGCGGCCGTGGAACAAGTCACAGCTTTAGCGTATGTTAGCATCACTTCAGGAACTGATCCAAATGCAGATTCCTGGGCCCTGGGCCCAGCAATGCTCACTCAGTAGGGTTGGGGATGTGGCCCAAGAGCTACATTTCAAACAAGCAGTTGGAATTACCCCGACATGGGTGGTTCAAGAGCTCACTTTGAGAAATACCAACCTAGAAGATCACTGCATGTCCCGCTGCCAGCCACGGGAAGCAACGAGGATCAGATCCTCTCCTGGTTCAGTTGGGGGACAGAAGTGCTCTAGGGACCGCGGGGATTGGAGAAGAGAGGGGATCACAGGCATTCTGGGAAGGAAGGGCAGCTGCAGCTCTGTGGGCTGAATGCCAGAGGACCAGAGCCACTCTGAGTAACAAGGCCAAGGCCTCGGATGTGAGTGGAGAAGTCACACAGGGGGCAATAAAAGGTCACAGATCCCCTGGTGGAGTTCTGAGTATCACAGGGACTCTGGAGAGAACAGAGAAGCATTCCTTCATCACCTGTTACATAAAAGGCCCTGTGCTGGGTGCTAAGCATGTCACTGCCCCCCCCGCAAGAATTCCCACTGGAGTCTGGAAGACAAACTGGAATCAGACACCAGGTGGCATGGACTCAGATGTGTGCAGGAGCACAGAGGACCCAGGCACGTCTCACTGGGGGAGCAGCATCTCAGAGGTAACGTCTGAGCTGCGTCTGAAGAATGAGCAATATGCTGGCCAGGACTTCAGAAGAGGGGAGCCGTGTTCAGGGATGTGGGGACCCCCCGTGGCTGAAGCTCTGGCAGGGCTCAGGGGCTCCGGGGCAAGTGAGCAGAGATGAGCCGGAGGGGTAGAGACAGGCACCCCACAGTGATGAGTCTGCTCTGCCAGGGAAATGTGCACTTTAGCCTAAAGGTGAGAATCAAACTGAGATTTTTCTTGAGGAGGAGTGACGTAATGGTTTTGGTTTTTAAGAAGACAGTGCTAGTTACAAGGCCCTTCACACAGTCCAGGCAAGAACGGAGGGCCTGAACAAGGCACTGGCAGAGGGAGAAAGGGGGATGGATTGGGGGGCTATTTCAGAGGCAGAGCCCATTAACAAGATTTGAAAATCGACTGAGTATGAGATGTGAAAGAATGGAGTAAAATAACGCCTGTAAGGTTTCCACTTAGAGGATGGATGACAGTAGATGGTGATGCTATGAACCACGTGAAGAAATGGTAAAAGGCTCAGAAAGGAGGTGGCTGGAGAGAGGTGAGTTCAGTTGTTGGACACACTAAGGGTGAAGCACCTTCAGGACACCTGGTGGAGATACTGGAAGGCAATCAAACAGAAAGGTGTGGGCAACACAGGCAGCAGGGCCAGAGTCAGGCAGCTTGGTAGTCCTGACGGCCAGGGAGAAAGGAAATCGAGAAGAGAGCCCTGAGGCACCACCATTTGAAGGCAACTCAGAGAAGATCGAGCCAGAGAGGCTGGAGGAGCCTTTTCTTGCTTGGGAACCCCAGCAGGACCCTGAGGGCACGTGCACTGAAGCAGCAGCGAGCAGGGCCTCTGTGGGGGGGCCCGGGGTCACAGAAGCTTGAGTGGAGCTGCATGTCTCAGGCATTGAAAAGATAACCACTGATACTTTGAAAACACTTTAATGCAGAGCAAAAAGGGCCAGGAGCCCTCTGAGGGCAACAAGGAAAGATTAGAAAATCCCTTCCTTACAGGGTAGGGAGGGGAGACTTGGGTTTGTGAAAAGAATCCAAGCACTTTGGGGCCAGGAAGGCTTGGGTCTGCACACTTACTACTAGTAAGATCTCAGGCAAGTTAACCTTCCTCAGCCCCGAGTTCCTCAAATGCAGACTGAGGAGCCCACCACCTTCCACTCAGAGGGGAGCTAAGGAGGCCGCCCCAGGCAGGGCCTGGCACATGGCTGCCATTCAATACGTGTTAGTTGCAGCTCCTTATGAACCATAAGGGGCCATAGGCTTGATCTGCTGCCATAGGTGGGGAGGGGGTAAGGCGGGAAGCCCCATGGAAAAGACCGGCAGGACCCTCAGGCAGGACCACTACCTCCTGCCAGGACCATCCGGTTCCCTGGCCCAGAGGCTCTATCTCACTTTTTGCCTCTGAGGCAGCTTACTTCTAGGAAACTGGAACTTACCCCTAAAATTCTACTGGTTTCCTGAGCTCACTCCTGATTGGTCCATTTGTAGTACTTCATTTGCATGGAGCACACTCCTGATTGGTTATTTCTCTCCCTCCTGATTGGTCCATTTCTACAAAGCTTGTTCCTAATTAGTCAACTTTTGTTATACTTTATTTGCATATGATGTTGCAAAGTGTAAACTGGCAGCCTATAAAGGCCTGTGTAAGCCTACAGACGGGGTCCAGAGCTTGGAGTGTTAACTCCCTTGGGTCCACTGGCATAATAAACCTGAATTCTCCAACTCTCCGAGTTCTGCTTGATCTCTCGACGGATCCATGTTGCTGTCACAACTGAGTTGTAACACTAAGCTGTAACACTGAGCTGTGACACACTTTTCTGCAACAGGGGACAACCATAAAATGACATCCCATTCCCTTCCAGGTATGTCAGGAGGGGAAAAAAAAATCAGGTTTGGGGCAGAGGTTCTGGCAGCAAACAGAGCAACAAATGAGGCAACCCTTAGCTCCAGGGGGGAAAAGTTGATATAGAAGCCAGAACTGTAATGAAAACTTTCCCTAAAAAGGTGTCATACACAACACTCTAAAAGCAAAACTCTTGACAGAAGCTGTGTCATGGATACCCTGAGAATGGGGGAAATGTGGTGGAGGAGACAGTTATGTATATTTTGGAAGCATTACTTGCTGTGTTTAGGCAGGGGGTGGGGGTGGGGGGAGTCATAAATATTCTAGAAACATGGAAAGGACCACAGATAACCATGCAAGGACCTAGTGGTGGACGGAGGTAAAGTCCCAAAACGTTCTCAGGGATCAATGACAGTCAATTTCACATATTCTGTTGCATATAATAAAATATCCCTGTATGTGCAACTGTTTGGCAAATTATTACTGAATAGATCAAGCCAGAAAACATGAAACACACATCTGCTATTGGCAAAAGCGGATGTGCAAAAGAGAGTGACGCCCACAGTGTCGAGCTCAGCGAACAAGCTGGTTAGAAAAAAAAGACCAGGCATAATTCAACCCAATTTTTAAAAATACGTATATATGTCTGCAGGCACAGGGAAGACTGAAGGAACTACAGCTCTACAGTGCTACTGATGTTTGTTTCTGACTAATGAAATTACAAGTGATTTTCATGTTCTTTGTACTTTTTTATATGCACTGAATTTTTTTTTTTGTAGTTAGCATCTTTTCTTTTTAGAACCTTCCAAATTAAGACACTTGCATTTTGGAAATATAAGAGGAAAAATAATAAGATTGAAAGCCACCAAGATGAAGAATCACAGTCAAAGAAAAATCACAATTACGTGTGGAAACAGACCTCTACCTGCTCAGAGGTAGAGCCTGTGAATGTAGGCCTCCCACATATGTTAACAACCCAACACAGACAGGCTTGGATATGAGCCATGATGGTGACTATTTCACTAAACGCTGGGGGGTTCAAATTTTCACTCTGGTAACAAAACGCTCACTTTCACACAAGGTTTACAATAGAAAGTTGCCATTTACTTGCTTTAAAAAGAGGGTTTTAAACATGACCTGGCCTTCCTTCCTCTACTCCTTTTTCTTCTCACAGTCAGAGCTTCACAGGAGAGACAGCTCCTGCCCTAATAGTCTCCATTTCCTTGTCTAAGGATTAAGCCAGCTGTATATATTTTTTCTTTTTAAACAGCCTAATACCAGGACATAATTATAGATCATTGGAGACGCAGGGTTTACTCTGCTTTTTCCACTGCTGGCCATATAGGATTCCTGTAACTATCTTGTTTGGGTGTGTGAATGCTAGTATTGGGGCACACACACATGGATTTAAGAGAAAAGCTTGACCCTAAAACGCTGGCAACACCCTAGTGCATTGGGAACACATGCAATACTCCAGGACAGATGCAATAATCACAAGATGCAATCAGCCCAAAAGGAGACAATGAAAACACAAGATGGGCTGTCAAAGAGAAAGAGCAAAAGCTCCCTTCTTCTGTTCTTGATAAAAGCCCAATTTATTACTGGATGTGATAGAGAGGACCAAAGATAACTGATCACTGTCTCCAGCTTGGGACCTTGGGTCATGGCACTGTGCACTCACAGGAGGGGACACTGGTGGAGGAGAAGGTCCGGGGTAGCTCAGTTTGAGATACGCTGATTTTGAGATTCCTGTGGTACACTGAATTGGAGATGTCTGGAAAGCAGCTGGATGTGAGGTCTGTAGCTCCAGATAATGGATGAGAAGTATCAAAATACAGTGGACACAGAACCCCTGGGGCTGGCCGACATCCCAATTACACAGAATGCAAGAGAAGAGGATCTTGGGTGGAGCTCCAAAACTGAAAGGATGAGCAGAAGACAAAAATCCTACAGGGAAGACAGAAGGAACTGCGAACATCCTTGGGCTCCTGTTAATGTTACTGTCAAAACATCTGAATTTTTCCAAACTGGAATACTTCAAATAGAGACCTTGAGATCATTTTGTTAATCTTCTCTAAGATTAATGTTATATTTGAAGACAAGATTTCTGAGGCTTTTTCCTAAAGAAATCCAAGACCAATAAACACGTGAAAAGCTGTTCACTCTCACTAATTGAAATGCAAATCAAAAGCATCAGATTTGACTTTGGAGGAAGGCACTGTTGTATGTTTATTAACTATATTTTTAGGGACTGACAGGGTATAATGAAACAGGCCCTCTCACCACTGCTGGCAGGACTAACTGGAGAGCAGTTTGGCCAAGACCATCAAGCATGATAAAAATCTTTTACATCCTTTGGCCCAGCAATCCTGCTTTTTGGATTAATTCATGCAGGTGATTATATTCATGTAAAGGATTTACATAAACATTTATGTTAAAGGATTCCTTCTGCAACATTATTTATAAAAGAAATTATTTTAAAATCTGAATGTATAATTATATGGGAGTAATTAAATAATTGTGCTCCATCCATATGATGAAAGAGAAAGTCATCATTAAAACTCATGTTTGAATAATTAAATTCTATGATGAGAAAATGTTCAGCATACAATAGTAAGTGAAGTACACGTGATAATTCCAGCTTATTACAAATACACACAAGAGTGTAAGAAAACACTCCAAAATAATAACAGTGGCTAGCTGGTGATGACTGAATTACAATCAACTTTTCACTTTCTTCTTTATATATTTCTATATTTTCTCAATTTTCTATAATGCACATTGCAATTTTCATAATTTAAAGTAAAAAATGTTCCTGCTTTTATATTCTAATATTATATTCTAATATTTTCATTACTAAGAGCTCTTTTTATCTCAAAATACCTCCATTATCCTTAAGAACAGCTGTATAGCTCTGAACTGGGAATTTTGATTCTAATTCTTAAATAATGTCGCCAGTATTTCCTATACTGCTATTTTCAAAACAGAGGGATAATGGATCAACACTGGAAGCTCCAACTAAACACTGGCACTTATGTCTGACCAAGAAAAAATATAAATCATAGCCTTCTCAAGAACTGCAGAGGAAAACTTGCAATATTGATACAGGCTATTATTTGGATCTGAGACAGAAAAAGCCATGGAGGTTCTATGTTAACTGTCTTGAGCTAGTCATTCTAAACCATTAGAAAGTGATTTCTTATCACCTCCATCAATCATCAGCTGAAAGGCAACACTGAATTTCATTATCTTGGGGAAAGGAAAAAAAAGACTTGAAATCTCTTTGAAAATGTTCTTTGTTAAATATGATCTTATTTATGAAATTTGTATCCATAGACTACAAGCTAATGTGAATCCAACTGCTGAGTGGAACGCAGACAAAATACACACAGAGGGTTGAATATACTTCAAGATTACTGCTTGAAACAAAAAGAAAAGTTAATTATTTTAGATTGTTGCCATTGAGAAGTCATTTTGTTGATTAACAATTATACAGCATCAAGAGACATTCACAGTTGCTAAAACTGAGAAATCTTTCTTAATGAGCCTAATGACTGGCTCAGAGTTTTGCCCAAAATGCTTGACAAAAAGCCAAGAAAAATAAACTATTAACTAAACTCTTATTCAGATATGTATGAGTATAAACAAGTCTCACTGATTTCAACTGTAGATGAATAATAAAAATGACAACCCAAATATTGTATCTACTAGCTATATACTTTATGTTCATTTTCCAAAATTGTTATTTCATTGCATTTTAGAAAAGGTAAATCACTGACACAATGAGTGATTTAATTTGTATAGCTTTTAAGACTTTTCCTACAAATGAAGTCATGCATAAGAAAAGTTTCATTGTTAGATCTTTTAGCCCGATTTCTGTTTCCCATCAAATACTGTCCAAAAGTATTGGTAAAAATTAACTTTATGATAAAGTTCGCAGGAACTTTAGCGATGAAAGGAGAAACAGTATGATGCATGATGCTAAGTCAACTGATTAGCTAGCTGGAGAAAATCAATTTGAATTCCCTTCTCATGCCATTTGTCAAAACAAGTTCCAAACAGATCAAAGAGTTAAATGTTTGGGGGGAAAATTTTGTTGTTGTTGAAATATAGTTGATTTACAATGTTGTGTTAGTTTCGGGTGCACAGCATGATGATTCAATTGCACATATAGAAATTCTTTTTCATATTCTTTTAGGGGAAAATTTTTTAAGAAGAAAATCTTATCTGCTCTCTAACTGAAGAAGGATTTAGCTTAAAAAATATAATCACAAAGAAAAAAATGTAGATTGGAACACGAATATCCTACCTGAGGATCGGCCCAAGAACATGAGCAGAGGACTGACCAAAGAAGAAATAAAAATAGATGCTAAAACACAAAAAAAGCTCAACTTTGCTAATATTCAAAGACATGTAAATCAAAACAAGATGCCATTTTTAGCTTCAAATTAGCACAAAATAAATTTAATGAGAATACTACAGTGTGGTGAACTTTATGTGAGAAAAAAACTCGCATTCACTGCTGATTTAGGGTGTAAATTGGTATACCCTTTCTAAAAACTCAATTAGCAACAGATAATGAGCCATAAAATATTCACACCCTTTAGCAGAGTAATCCAGGAGACTTAAGGACACAGTCTAAAGTGAGGATAAAAATTTATGGACAAAAATGTGCATTACAGTATTGCAGACAATAGCAAAAACTTTGAAGTAAACTAAATAAACTTGAAAATAAATGTACATGATTCAGAATTCCTTAATTAAATTATGGTATGCTCAGAGGATGAGTAGTATGGTGTCAGTAAAATTTTTATCTACAAAGAATTTTAATTTTTTTTTATCCTTCTGAGGGATACTTTTTTAAATTGTATTTTTTCTTTTTTTTGATGTGGGGGTAGGTAATTAGGTTTATTTATCTTTGGAGGAAGTACTGGGGATTGAACCCAGGACCTTGTGCATGCTAAGCATGCACTCTACCATTTGAACTACACCCTCCCCACTAAAGAATTTTTTAATTATATAGAAATGCCTATGATATAAAGTTACATGACAATACTCACAACTGTATCCACGTTGCATGACATTTACAAGTTCATGAAACACACACTCATTCTACTAACCTGCTTTTTTTGCACTATCATGGGAAGAATGGCTGGATTCTCCCTGAACCTGGAGTGTGTGTGGAGTGGTCTAAACAAAAATACAGACCATGTGGCACACAAAACAGCTCCTGCTACCAAAGAATTAGGCAGTCATTCTTCAGGAAAAGTTTAGGCACAACCTGTGACAGAACCATTCAGCACCTGAGCAACTGTGTAGGTATAGCTTGTTCAAAGGAAATAATAGTAGCAATTTATTTAATAGTCATTACTGATTCCTCTGAGCAACAAAGGACTGGTCAGCCAAACACACATGCATGAGTACATATCCACGTGCACACATACGTTAAAAAAGCTAGAAGGAAATACCTAAAATATTAGCAGTGGTTTTTCAGAGTAGGGATCCTCTAGAACCATGCTGATATGGTAGCTACTAGACGCAAATGGCTGTTTACGTTCAAATTAAAATTATACGTAAAATTTAATATTCTTTCCTTCAGTGGCACTAGTCACATCTCAAGGGCTCAGTAACCAACTACACGTCACTAGTGGCTACCGTATTAGACAACAAAGATACAGAACAATTCCACGGTCATATAAAGTTCTTTTGGACCCTACTGTTCTAAAAGACTTCTTATGTCCTTCTTTACACTTTTTGCAAATTTATTACAATATGCATAGTAGTAGATTCCTCTTATAAACAGGAAAAAATGACTAAAAGAAATGAGGTTAACAGAGGAAGCGTTCACTCTAGAGATGCAAGGGAAATGATACTCTGGGGAGGGGGAAGCAGGCGGTCACAAGCGCTCTGGGAAGAACAGGGAAGGCTAGAAAGAGATGTGGGAATAATAGACATTCCGAGGAAAGGGAAGAAAGGACACAGAAATTCCAACAGGAGGGGTGGGAAGGAGGCAATTACAGCAAGGCTCTTGTCTCTCCCCACTCACCAGCCATTACAGCTGCTGACCGCTGAGCTGGCTCAAAAGGGCATTTCCCCCGGCCACTCTCAAGTCTTTCCACCTCCTGGAAACTGGACACATCCTACAGACCAGAAGGGGGCAATTGGTTTAGAGGTCATGGGGAGGTTCATGGTGAGAATTACAAAGATGGTCAGATGAAGAACAAACCCAATTCCATTCCCCTCCCTCCTCCCCCCGCTCCCCCACTACCATTCCCATATTCCCAGTCTGCTGATCCGGGCTCCCCCACCCACAACTTCATTTCCCATCTCTGCCATCCCTCTTTTCAGTTTATTTCTCTTCCCTCAACTCCCGTGGCACCCAACCCCCATGTGCTCTGATGAAGGCTATACCTACGATTACCCTAGAAGACACTGAGAGGCTGAAAGGCAGATCTTTCCTCTGAAATGCCGAACTGTACAGTCTGCAGATTGCCTGAGGATGTGCTGCAGGACAAGGAGGACCAGGGGAGAGAGCAGGCCTCCCAAGGGCCAGAGCACTTGGGAAGGGTAAAGAATGTGCTTTATATCATAGGCATTTCTATATAAAGCACTTCAGATGGGGAGGACCATCTGCAGCCCATGCTTCTAGAGAGAATGGCCACCCTTCCCCTGCTCCCACCCCATGAATAAAAGACAGAAGCAGAATCAAGGATACACAGAAGCAAGGAAAAGCATCTGTAAAGTCCATGAAGACCTGAAGGTCAGGTCAGAATTTGAGGCTTTGGCAAGGAAGTGTCTTCCTCAGTCAGAGACTCCAGAGGTACTGAGGTGGGGGGTGGTGTGAGAGTTCCACCAGAGCCAGCCAGATGTTACCTTTCTTAACTGAGCATCCAGCACTAAAAGAGGCTTCAAGATAGCATGCAAAAACGAAAATCCAGATTTTTAACCTGGACTGACAGGGAAGTTAATTGTGGCCAGTTAGGGGTCAGAGTTACGGCATGGAAGTGCCAGGCATGATATTTCCAGTTCACAAACTAGGGTAGGGCACGGTGCTGCTGAGGCCTAACCACTGTGATGGCAGCTGGAGACGAGCAGCAGAGCTCTCCACCTCCTCGGCACCCTGGCCTGCTCTGACTGCTCTCTACCTGCTGTACTTGGCAAACATGGTTTTGTGTTACTGAAAGAGCCTGGAAGAAGGCCTGTTAGAATTGGATGTTATCTGAGTCCCCCTCCAAAAGAATACTAGGTCAAGAATCTTCTGGAATGGAGGACCCCACAGAAGCACCATCTCCTCCCCGGTGTGGCACTGGGATCACCCCAGCCTAGGGAGAAAGATGGCAGTTCAGTGAGAGATGACCAAGATGTTTGGGCACTCTGGGCATGGCGTATGTCCCACTGCTGACACCTGTCTTATCTCTCACCTAAACTACAAGACTCCCACCCAAGGTTAACATTCCTACACTACCGGTCACTGCCTTGGTAAGTGCTCAAGCCAGAGAAAGACAAAAACGGCTCACTATTGCCTCTTTAGTGCAAACTGCTTATTTTCCAATACCTCAGAAAATGAACTCTTTCTTCTAACCAAACCTGGAATCCTGTTATTCCTAGAAAACCAAGTACATTTTTCCCATCTCTATGCCTGAAACGACTCCCTCATGTTTCACTTAGGACTTAAAAAGAACGAGCTTTTGCTCAGTTCTCATTCTCTTCCATCTTCATGCACCATTGGGTACTTTTGATTCACTTCCCTCCTTGCAATATTCTATTTCTTAACTCTCTTGAAATTCTCCCCTCCTGGAGTCCCTCCTCCTGGCTGTTGTCTCTTTATCTCCTTTGGTTGTTTCTCTTTTCCTTTCTAGCCTCTCACCGTGTGTCCTTACTCCTTTTCACATACACTTTAAAGATCTTGTTCATTTTTACATTTCCAGCCAGACTTTCTATGCAGATCATTCCCCAAACTCTCCTAGTCTGATGTCTTCCAAACTTGATTGCTGGACTTCCTCACAGAGATGACCTACCAGCCCCTTGAAACTCAGCATGTCAAACAAAGCTCATCCTCTTCCAGTTTCCCCAAATGGCATCATCGTGTTATTCAGGTTCACAGCCTTGGAGTAAGTGAGTCTATTAACTACATAGGCTATGACTACTGTACAGTCTAAGCGATATTTAATTAGGGTCTTAAAGGGGTAAGACCCCTCCATCACATTCTCTATCTCAATGTTAAGATTCTTCATTATACAACCATTGCATCAGTCAGCACAGTCCTATCAACACCAGTTGTGGTGAAGTCAAGTCCCTCAAGTTGAAAGCCAGAGCTATGTAGGAAGGCAGGGTTGGAACCCATCCTTTGAACATGGCCAAGAAGGGTGCAAGGCACATGAAAGACCGTTCCCAAGTGGTTAGGGGGTTAAAAAAAGAAAAAGATTGTCCCTCTTACATGAAACAGATCAAATGTCACAAGAAATTGAAGCCAGCAAAGGTCTTCTTCTAGATTCCAGGGTAGTGGAGCAGAGCCAGACACATCTGGGTTTGAATCTTGGCTCTGCCTCTGCCAGCTATACATCTCAGACTTTTACCTAACTTTTCAGAACTTCTGTTTCATGGCCTGAAAAATGGAAATAAATACTATCATGGTGTATTATCACTATCATAATAAATAAGTATCATGATGTGATTGATAAGAATTAAACTCAACTGTGAATGTAGAGTATTTACCACCAAGCCTGTGACAGAGTGGACACTCAATTGAATGGCAAGTCTTATTGTTGTTGGTGCTGTAGTTGTAAGTCTAACATTCTTCTGTTAACTGCTGGAGCTCCCTCTACAAAATGAGTTAAAAAATTTCCCTCCAGGGTCTGATGCGCTGTCACTGAAGGGCAGTTCTCCACGTTGCTGGAGTTGGTAGGTCCTATATGCTTGAACTTCCTTTTGGAAGCACCGTTAGTTCTCTGAGCCATCAACTCTGAGCAAGTTGTTGCGTTTGGATCAGCTAGTCAAAGGTCTCAGATAATAGTTACACATCGTCTCAAAAAAAAAAGTTATAGATGGTCTCAGAGTCATTAGTCTGGGACATGAGAGGTTCAGCTCTAAGGATGAGGTAAGGACTTGCTCAAGCAGATGGGGATTGCCAGGAGGCAGGATGAGACAGATAAAAACAGAAGAGAGCCTTCAAGAAGTCCAGAGAGCAGTCTTGGGATTTTGAAGGGCTAACATAGTAGTTAGCTGTGTCCTATATTCTCCTACAAACAAGCCTTGACCAAAGGTTGCTCCTTCATTTCATGAGCCTGCTAGCTAGGAGGGTTCAGAGAAAGAATTAAAAGTCATACGCGTGCGAGACATAGGCCCCTGGCTTCACTCTCGGTTGCTGATAGTTCTCAAGAATGGAGAGGGGTCCAAGTCACGCCAATCCTGACAGGTATGTCCAGGACACTGTCTGTCTAGACACTTATCTAACAGTCGTTAGGGTCCCACCTCAGAGAGCCAAAGAAGAAACAGAAGGCCCTCGGGAACTAACTTGGAGTAATCGCATTGTCTGTGAACCATGGCTCCGTTATTCGTACCCATGGGCTCCCTGATTCCGTGCACACTGGGAAAAGGGCAAATGTGGCAATGGCGGTCCCACAGCTACTTTGTGAGCTTCGTGAGACTATGGGAAAACCAGACCCTCAACATTACCTGAACGGACATTGAGATTTTCACCACCACCCTGAACTAGGAAACCTCTCCAGGATGAGGGAGCTACCCACATCCCAGTCAGGAGTCTATGAACGGCATTATGAAAATAACTCAACTTGAGCCCAGCTAACTCCAAGGACAGCCCAGAGGGACTGACTGAGGCGATCAAGCCTGTACAATTATAGCATTCTAAAACAGAGCTATGAGGGTGATGTTTCACAAAGAGGAATTTGGAGGTACACACTGACTAGATCCATGCGGCAAGGATCACTGCAGACTGTAGGTCAAGTCAAGACCCACCACTGAGGCTCAGGGCCAGGAAAGGGAGTTGCTGGAGCCCCTCCTATTCCTAGCACAAAGGGAGAAAAAGGTGTCTGGTGATACGAAAGACATGTGAGGCTTATGACTCATCCTAGGGCCTGGTCACAAATACACGCTGCTGTAGGAACCGTGACTGACTGCTGGATAACTGCTGGGGAAAGCTGAGGGGTCACCAATTCCTGAGATGTCACCAATCCCAGGGACTTTTGAGGCCATGACTAACCTAGATGTGATTAGGGGTATCCATGTCCCAAGCTTGCCTGGGTGGGGGGCTGGAGACGCCCAGGGCCTTAGCAGCAATGAACAGGACCAAGGAGAAAACATGGTTGACAGAGTGCCAACCGTGAAGGCAAGATCCAGAGTATGGGGCCAGCAGGTGCTATATTAGTGAGCAGTGACCTCAAAAGCCATGAGAGCAAAGGGTCACAGCCCACACAGGATGGGGCTGACAGTGGGGGTGAGAGGAGGTGGTGAAAGATAGTTACATGACATGGGAGGAAGAAACAGGTACGGACTGTGCTGATTAAGAAATGGATGCAGGCTGCCTGGACAAAGCACGGAAAACCTGAGTTACCCGCCCCTGAAGTTTCTCCCAGATTTACCCTCTCCTCAGCCCAGCTAGTGTCCCACTATGACTCCTTACACTCTGTATACCTCACCTTCTAAGGACAACCTCCCTCCCCGCCCTTTTCACACCCCCCTCAGTGGCAGACAAAGGCTCTACCCTGTGAGGAAATCCCTCACCCCCAGTGCTCATCACGCACAAGGGCTGCCTTAAGCATGATCCCCGTCACAGTCACTCACAGGAGACCCCTCCCAGCCTCCCACCCCTGTCACTCACAATAACCCCGCACTTCGGATCAAAAGCGAAGGTGCCACAAGTGAGGAGGTGAGAAGCATTGGCAATGGCGAGAATCTGGACAAAATTGTGACATTCGTCCTGAGGGTCAGAGATGGTTAGAGAGAATCAGAAGCAGCAGGTACAAGGAGAGGTGATGTTAGGACAGCTGATATGCAGCTCGGGGCGTGGTGTTAGAGTCCCTGCCTGGGCCCACGGGGTGGGAGCACGGCAGGGGGACTGATGCAGAGCCAGGTCTGGGCCAAGGCCTCAGCTGACACTCAGGACAGGGCTGGGGTTTATACCTACCTCCTTCTTGCCTTTCTTGCTACAGTTCTGTCGGTGGGCCTCAGGCACGATCCAGTCAATCTAAGGAACAAGGAGTAACCATTTCCCTGCAGGAACTCCCCCAGTTCCTCCCAAGTCAGGGTCAGTGACACTGCTCTACAACCTCCATCAATCTGGGAACTTCAGAGATACATCCACCCCTTGACCCCAGAGCTTTGTTTTTCAAACTGGAGGTCTCTACCCACTGAGTCATAAAATCAATTGTGAAATGTCAACTAACATTACTTTTGATGAAACAGAATACATCAGAGTGTATCACATACAGAAGAGTAAATATTGTTTTGAGAAACTTCTCTTTCAGTACACACTTTGTGTACTGGATCAAAATGTACCATATATTTCTTACTAACGGAGGGCCAGAAAAACTTGAAAACTGTTGCCCTAGAGTAAAATGATTCTCGTTCATCCTCTGCCCACAGCCACCTGAAACCTGGTCACTGTGGCCTCCTCCCCATTATCATGACCCTCCCTCATAGCCTCCCCGGTCACCATGCCCCCCTCCATCACCCTCGGCTAAGATGATGAAGTTGAGGACCTACCCTTATTTTCACCAACACTCTGCCTCCTGTCACAACCCCCACCCCCGCCCAACACATCCCATAAAACCATGGATCTAATCACATGCTCTGTGATCTGAGGTCCTCCCCACTCTCATCTCTCACCCTGCGGGGTCTCTCCCCTGAAAAGGGCAGAGATAAAGCGAAGATGGTGTCCCGGGCGCCGACGTAAAGGGTGTGGGAAGCAGGATCCACGAGGAGGACAGAGTAATTGTATGTCTGGGGGATGGTGAACCGGGTGAGATAGGAGTCAGCCTCTGGCAGGAAGAGAGAGTCAAAGTGAGGAGTGATATCAGCCGTCACTTCATAAGGGTGGAGTCTGCAAGGGTAAAGCCAAAGTGGTCCGTTTTTGTTTTCTTCCCAGTACTATTTATTTAGCAAACTTAAGGGCAAAAACAGAGCCTTGACAGGCCAGCCATTTAACTTCCCCAGAGATACATAACTGATGACATCAGAGGACTTAGCACACACAATACAGCTAAGTATGCTTTCTCTATAAAAATAGAGCACTTTATTAAAATAGCGGCATAAATAGTAAGTCTGTAATTTCTATTCATAACAACATGATACATAATTTGAAAATACCTATAGAAGGTACAAATACTTTCTAAATTTCCTTTTTTTCAAAAAAAACCACTACTCAGTAGTGACTTCTTTTTACTTAGAGGGGAAATGTTTCACTCTCTTCACCAACACATTAGGAGACTATCTCCTCTCTCTGCCACCACCCTTTGTCTCAATCCCACCCTTGATCTCACCCCAATTCCACCCAAAGAGGTGGAGAGGTAGAGTGGGCATGAGTTCCGTGCTTTGGAATCGGGTCAGCCCAAGTTCAACTGTGGCTCTTTCACTTACCAGACGTATGATCTTGAGTAAGTTAACTTGCCCTTTCTGAGCATCACTTTCCTCATCAGTAAACACCACCATCCAGGGTTGTTGAGAATTAAGTGAGATAGCATATGTAGAAGCATCTGACACATACGACATATTTCACAAACGGTTCCTTTCTTCCTTCGTTAAGCATGTGCTCTGTTTGGGCCAAATCTAAACCCATCTCAGCATTCAAAACTCTTATCTATTTAAGTATTATACAAAAAGAAACAAGCTAGCATGGGGGGAGAGTATCGCTCAAGTGGTAGAGTGCATGCTTAGCATGCATGAGGTCCCCAGTACCTCCATTGAAAAAGTAAATAAATAAATAAACCTAATTACTTTCCCTCCCTGTAAATAAATAAATAAGTAGGCAAGCAAGCTAGCATAAATTTAACTTCTTAGCTCAATCTCTGGCTCTGGAAACCTGAATCAATACAGCTCTGCTCTACCTGCTTCACCTGCTCAGCTGCCCTCAAGACCAGTAGCATGGCCAGCAGCCGTGCACTTCCTAGATGTGGTGATGTATGGAGCCCCACCAACCCCATCCTCCCAGATCCATAATGTATGGATCTGTACTCTGTCCCATACTTATCCCACCCAGCTGCCCCACCTTGTCCTATAGACCTTTCCGGATTCCTGGATATCAACCCAGCCTGGCAACCTCAGCTCCATGTTGCGGCTACTGTTTCAGCACAAACGGAAACCCAGGCTCTGACTACAACTGTATCTTCTGGATTCATAGCACCCCTATATGTCACTGGCCTGAAGGGACAGAAGTAGTTTAGAAGGCTCTAAGTTACCCAGTTGTGAGTTTTTGCCAACAGGTTGTACTCTCGGCTTCACTGGTTCCACCTGCCCACAGTGCGAACACTTAATGCCCACTGAGAAAAACACCACTTGTGCCCACCTCGGCAAAGAGCCTTTAAAGTGTGAATCACTCCAATAACCACTTTTTACATTGTGGCATCCCCCAGCTTTTTTCACATATTTTGAAGGGACATCTCCCTCTTCCTTTTTTCCCTTCTGAGGGCTTAAAAAATTGTTTAAACAGAATTTTAAGTCAATTCAATGAATGGTTTTCCAACACTCAGTTTGGGAATGGATAGAGGGAGCAGGGAACTGAGAAAATCAGGAGGGTTATGGTAGATCCAATCACGGGAGAACCGGAGTTGGTGTCAGGATGAGAAGACTGGGGAGTGGGCTAAGGACATTAGGGCTGTGAGCAAGGCAGAAGGCTTGGAGGAGATTAGAACTAATGAATTTGAGAAGTGGGCAGATGGAAATTCTAGGCTGGTAATAGTAAGGATGGGTGTTTGCAGCTGTATGAAAGACCTATAGGTTTGACAGCAGAGTGGATGTCAGTCTGGCTTGACGGACACAGGTGCATGTGAGGGATGAGGGGAATAAGGGAGAGGAAACTTCGAAATGGACGACTTCCAGCAACCCCCGTCCTCTCCCTGGGCCTCAGTGTCCGCGTGTGCACGGGGAGGGGCTTAACTCTGCTGCGGTTCCGTGAATAATACGGGGCCGCGGGAGCCGCCTGGGCGTGTCGTGGGAACCGAGTCGCGAGGCCCGGGCCGGGTGGAGCAGCACCATGTGGGGGTCCCGCCCGCATCCGGGCCCGGCGTGGCCGGCGTGGGCGGCGCGGGACGCCGTGCGCCGAGCTGTGAGGATGCGACTGCCCGGACGGGGAGCGCAGGCAGGTCTGGGTACCTGAAAGCAGGGTCTTGGGCGCGGG